CCTGTGACACTCAAAGAGTGAACACAGTGACGTAAAAAATAGCAGAACAGAGAAAAAACAGGAAACAAATAAGAGAGAGGGGGGGGGCAGTTTATCACTGTTATGCTCTCGCTCCCCCCCTCCTCTCCCAGCAAGCTTTGACAGGATGAGATGTGGTATAGTGACATGACGGCAACATGACACAAAGCTGTATCCTCTCCTGTTGAGCCTGGCTTGCTGGATAGCCAGATGACTGACTGGGGCAGCAGGTGTGTTTCTACGAGTGTGTGTTTGTGTGTGCGTGGATGAGCAAGACACACATGCACAGTCACACGGAAGCATTATGTCCTGCAGCCATCATGTCCACTGTGGTGAGCTGTGTGCAAGTTTGCATGTGTTGAAGGGGTATCCCGAACTGCAGAAGACAAGAATGAGGCTGACAACAATCCATGTCCTTGAAAGTTATCTTCCCCTCCTCTTCCCTCTTTTGTATCTAAGCTTTTTACTCATGCACTTTCTTCTTCTTTACCTCAACATCTGTCACTCTTGTTTCTTTCATCTTGTTTTGCTCTATTGGGTTTTCTTCTACATCATATATATATATATATATATATATATATATATAGAATATAGAAGGGGACAAAGGGGAAAATATATATTTTCCCCTTCGTCTCTCTTTTTCCNATGGGAACTTGGGTCCCCCTCGCAGTGCGGGTGCAGCGAGCCGTTGGACCAGAAGTTGCGTCGCTTTCTGCGTCAGGAGGGGACGTATCCTCCTGATGTTGTAAAGCGTGTATCTGCAGCAGCGGGTTGTAGCAGCGATATTTGTAGTGAAGGACAGGTTGTTATCTAGGGTCACAACCAGATTCCTTGTAGTCTGAGTCGGGGAAACAATAGAGGTGCCGATGTTGATTGTTAGGTCAAGAGTGGGACAATCTTTTCCTGGAAGGAAAAGCAGTTCAGTCTTGTCAAGGTTGAGCTCGAGGTGGTGAGCAGACATCCACTGAGAGATGTCTGCTAGACAAGCAGAGATGCGTGCGACGACCTGGGTCTCTGAGCGGTGAAAGGACAGAATTAATTGGGTGTCGTCAGTGTAGCTGTGGTATGAAAAACCATGCGGGCTAATGACAGATCCGAGCGAGTCTGTGTACAAGGAGAAGAGGAGGGGACCAAGAACAGAGCCCTGAGGGACCCCTGTAGTTAATTGACGAGGGTCGGACTCGGACCCTCTCCAAGTTACCCTGTAGGTACGGTCTTTGAGGTATGAGGTGAGGAGGGAAAGTGCAGAGCCTGAAACTCCAAATTCTTGGAGAGTGCGAAGGAGGATCTGATGGTTTACCGTGTTGAATGCAGCAGACAGGTCAAAGTGAATGATTGATATCAACATAGGCAATTGTTGGCCAACACATTCACCATACATACACCAACAACACATGATAGGCAACTTACTCTTTGCTCACTGCGACGTTGGGCGCAGAGTTTAAATCATTTGATTTTTGAGCTGAGCGCAGTTTCAGGTCCCATGTCAGGCTTTTCCGGTTATTACCCGTCCCCTTGTGTGTTATGAAGGTTTGTATGCATGTGAATGGTCTGCAGAGTCACAAACCCTCAAAGTACACCCTGTAGCGAGTAAAACTTTTCTAACACAGAAAAGGCCTGTCTATGCTGCCCCAGAACGCCTCGTTGGAGATTTCTCTTTTTCCACTTGTTTCTTCCGGGAACCGCATGACCAAAATGGACCAATCCGCGGAGCTTCTTACACACCAGGATCCCTTGGCGTCACTATCAAACACAGTGGGGGGACCTTTAGCGTTCATTTTCAACCAACAGGGAGTCCCATTGACTTGCATCGAGCTCCCTGGTTGGTAATAGACGAGTTGGGATGGCGGAGAAATGCTCTCCGCAGATCCATTCTCACAGCGTTTATAAACCTTTTTCTTACTCTTAATATCAAGCGACACTTATTGTTTTTACTTTGGCTGTGAGTGTTTGTGTGTGCTCAGGATGAGTTTCGCGCTGTCCCGCTGTATCGCCGACACGGAAACCACACCAGTAAGGCAGCTCACTGAGCAGCGAGCCTCGCAACGTCCCGACCAATCAGAGCACACTGGGCTCACAGGGAGGGGGGAGCAGGAGCTCCAACAAGCCGTTTAGGACAGAGAGTGAATACCGGTGAATACACAACATACTATACAGAGATGCTGGATGAGAAACCAATGTGAGTTTGGAAAATTGCAAAATATAAATCTATTCTAGTAGACCTCAACAATGGAAATATGATCAGTAGAAATGGCCATGACATGGGACCTTTAAAGCATATTTTACATTCCTGCTCATGCTTTAGTGTTCTTTAACAGCTAATGAGCTTTACTAAACTTTCAACCACCAAGCTGCAAGTTGAATGAAGTCCGACCAACTGCAATTTCACACCCCTATGTCTCTCTATCTGCGGTTGATCACAAGTCAGCATAAATGTCAAATTGTATCAGGCCTCAGGCTTCTCAGTATTAAAACAGTCATAGCTTTACTGCATCTGCACAAAGTTCAACTTTGCATGACTTCCCCTCATGATTTAAAATTACAGGTAATTTCACTGATGATTAACCTTTTTTGTATTTTTTCTCATCTCATTCATCTTTGATCAAAATACATTCACTCAAGTACTATACTTGAGTAACACTTTAAGGTACTTTACTTAGGTAATTCCAGTTTATGCTACTTTGTACTTCCACTCCTCTACAATTCAAAAGGTACATATTGTATTTTTACTCCACTACATTTAGGTAGTACCTTTGAATACTTTGCTCTTGCAAATTATGTACAATAATCAACACTTAAATAAGACTTTAGTTATACCCCAACAAGCTACCCTGCAGCATACAACGTGATTAAAACTAGCTGCTCCTTTACCAACTTGAACAACACATTAATACATCAATAATCAAAACATATAATACATATTATTCTGAAATCTGCATAATGAGTATTTGTGGTACTTTGTTGGTAAATGTTGATGCTAATACTTTTGAACTTGAGTTACATTTTTTAATTAAGGACTTGTTCTAACGAGTATTCATACATTTTGGAATTTCTACCTTTAAATAAGTACACGATCTGAGTACTTCTTCCATCCCTGATCTTGTCAATTATACGCTAGGATAATATGCAGCTGAATGACAGAGAGACTCTTCTAACGTGTGAGCAGACAGTCATTAAAAGACCTGCTTCTCATTGAAAGGACAGTAGGAATAAAGTTTACAGACAACTGATTTGAGCTGGCTAAAGTTAGCTTAGAGGATGAGCCACAAGAGAAAGTCTATCACCAAACTACATTTAAAAAAACACTGCACAAGAACCAAGACACAAACAACGACTCAACTTAATGGCACAATTCCGTGTCACTAAAACACGCTATTGCACCACACAACAGGTGTGTCATTTTCACATAGCAACACCATGACCATTTATCGGCATTAGCTCTTAAGTTATGAATGTAACAACCGCCTTCACTAGCTAACATTCCCGGTAGCTTCATATCGAGTAAACTAACCCATATTCGGATTGGCTCTTAAGCAAATATGGCTACAATTAGCTTATTTAGAACGAACTACCATCGATGCTACTTTTTAGCATTAGCTGGGAAGCTTGCTAATTAGCATAGACTGAATGCTTCAGAGTAGTCCGATGGCGTTTCGTTTCAGCACCTCGAACAACAGTGTAAAGAATAGTTTTCATACCAGAGTCTTTCATTATCCTAGACATCTCCATGCACCGCTCCCACGCATTCTGTGCAGAAGAGCAATGTCCACTTTGTGTCAGACCTGCCCATGCTAAGGTTGTAGGAGGAGTTTAGCTTCCACTGCTGCAGAGACACAGGAGGCTGGACCATGGGCTGAACAAACAATAATCTACTATGCAGAAAATGCGACCGGAAAATGCTTCATCACATCAGGAAGTTAAACTCATGCACTTCAAGTAGACAAATACATGGTTACATTTACAGTCTTTTAGGACTAGCTTGATGATAAGATTTGCATATCATAAACATTAGATTTGTTTTTGCTCCATTATTATATTATGCAACATAATCATGCACTTTATAAACTGCATTGGTCTAATCTAGCATGCAACTAGGTTACATATTGCATGTAAATTGTGTGAAATGGACTTTCCACATACAAATTAGACCTTTCACAACAATAAAGGTGTCATTATTTGGAATATTGTTGCATGTTTTACATGAGGTTGCCTTTTTTGTGTAAATTATTTAATATCTTTATGGTTAGAAGGTACTTGCTTTGCCTGGCAACTTAATGTTGTAATTGAAAAACCATGCACGATTTGCTGTCTACGTTTTGGAAAAAATCTCCCTTCCCTTTTTACAGTTTAGTATAGTCTGTGCCACATTTCAACCTCAAAACCTTAGAACCTCCTGTAGAAACTGAGAGCTTTTTTTTTTTTAAACTTATAACTCAAATCATTATGTTGTATTTTTGATTTGTTGTTGTAGGAAGGCCTATTGTATAATCCAGAAACTTAATAACTTACTTTTCAGGAAGAAATGTTAGCATGTAATAGCAGAAAACGAATTATTAAACATTCAGTGCACTGCATAAATTTAGTTTTGTCCCGGCTATGCTGTTTTACATGCTGGCTCACTATCATCATAGCTAAATTGAATGGAGTCATAATAACTGAATTTTCTGCTAAAACAGACCTAACTTGATGTGTGACTAGTGTCTTTCTCCACATGGCTCTATGAGTAAATGTGTTACAGCTCATACAGCACATAGGTTGGGCCAACTGCATTTAAGGGAAGTGGTACTTGCAAAACCGCCAGGTTTTTATCTTGCAACCCTTTGATATAGACTTTATCTGTGAGGCTTCTATGCCAAAAAAGAGCAAGCACTTAAGTAATACAAATAACTATCTCCTGTCATCCACTGCACTGTTAGGCCTATTCCAAATAATTGAAGTTTGATAGGAAATGAAATTCTGCAAATAAAAACAAGATGGCAAACCTGTTTTCTTGTGCTCGTTGACTTGAGTGAGTGTTGAGCTGAGGGGAGAGGGGGCCTGTTTGACAACTCCCCGGCCTCCGGTATTTTTGTGGTACTTGCTGATCCACTCGAACCTGGGTGCGTGTGTGGTCGTCTTGCAAACATCTAAAGAAAGACAGACATAGAGAAACTTTGTGAGTGAACAATACAACAAGAACCGTATCTGAACTCCTGCTTTGTTTTCCGGCTAAAGTACAGAAGAAGGTATAGCAACAGCAACAGAAGAATTCATGGTTTAAACAAGAGTGTTTATTCATTTACTCAACTTAAAGCATTTATATTTCTTGCTCTTACATCCGGGTCTTACTTTGAGGTTGTGAGACCATTTCCCCAATTTGTATTCTAGTGCTTTACATTTAAATCCAAGTTACAGGACGCTTTTATCTGCGTACCTTTACCACTTCCCAGACTCTTCTTTTTAAGAACAACAGGTGTCAGGTCATTTCATATTTCCATCCCTGGTCTGCCTCACCAGATGAACACTGTGTGGTCACCACAAAATACAAATAGCAAATCAGTCTTCCTCTGTGCTCATGTGTAGTTTCCACTGTGAAAAATAGTGAGCCAGTGGCAAAAGTGACACTCCCCTAACAAAACAGTTAACCGCCTAACCAACTCCATTCAGAGGAACACAATAAAGAAAGAAAAAAGGTGTTCAAGAGAAGCATAACAAAAAAAGGTACATGTTCTGTTTAAACTGTTCTCCTTTTCTGCCATTGCCAACAAATGCTACACACACCATCCAGACTCCACCTCTTCTCTCTTTGTCAGCATCTTTGTCAGCCATGTGTCATGTCCAACATAAAGTAACTGACAGATGAAGTCACCAAACCTGTTAGTGCTTCTAAAATTGGCACAAGTTCAACATAGTTATCATCCGTCTCAGACATATTTCTGTGTACCGCTTTTAAATGTTTTTTTTTCCAATAAACTAATGCCACATTTTTTTTTAAATAAAGGTTTTATATAACACAATGTCAACACAGGGCAGATGAAGACTGGCTGAGCAGGTTTCCTCTAAACAGATGGTTAGAGCAGATTATTTGTACTTCTTCACTCATGGATGTCTCCTACATTGTTTCGATAATAAAATCTTAAAATATGAACTACCAAACACAAATGTATGCATAAAGGGGAGGGTTCACATAAATGTACTATTTGAACAGATTCAGGGCATTTTTTTTTTTTACATTTCCAAGAATTTCATGGACATTTTCAAAGGCTTTTAAGCAATTACAGCAGGACATCCTGTGAAAATATCCCACGTCTCTGAGGGGTGACCTACCACTCCACGCCCTGTTGACCTCACTCAGGAAGAGCCGGGAGTGGGACCCAAAAGGAAGTCGGAGCTCTAATTCCTCCTCCTGGTAGCTTACTCTCACTCTAGTATCAGCACCTAGAAATCAGATGAAGAACAAAGGAGTAAATACCATGTTCAGTTTCCTTCTGTGGGTCAGTAATTTAGAACATTATGATAAAGCAAAAATGGACTCACCCACGACTGCAAGTTCCTCTGGTGAAGAAACTAAAAAAAGAGTGAAGGGTGAGAAATGTGTGCGAGGGCACTTCTGAGAAACGACTGTAATTGTATCACTAGAACCCATAATCATTTAGAGAACGCATTATTATCTGCAATAAGGTACAACATAGAGAAGCAGCTCACTCTCCACAACAGCAAAGTCGAGGGAGATGGGTATGATGTCCTCCAGCGACACGTCATCAGCAGTAATAGCCATCCTTCGATGGGTATAAATAAAGATTCTACAAAATATGACAACAGGAATTATATGGCAGTGTGATGCACATGCAGGGGTGGACAAGATAAAAAGACACCTTTATTAGAATGCAATTAAAACCACTACAGTACAGGCTTGCGACGTGGCAATAAATGCTTCCCTTTTCATTTATCAGTTTGTTATAGAGGCTGATGCAACTCACTGGTCATTGTAGTGTCAGTTAGGGCTGCTCAATTAATCGTATTTTAATCGCAATTACGATTATGGCTTGCAACGATTACGAAAACAACGTAATCGAAATAAAACAATTATTATTTATTATTATTATTATTTTATTTATTTATTTTTTGGTTTTTCAGTTGAATTATACTTAAAGTTTAGGGCACATGTGTCAAACTCAAGGCCCGGGGGCCAAAGCAGGCCCCTTGGTGGATTTAATCTCGGCCCGCAAGATAATTTCTAATTACTATTAGATCTGGCCCGCCGGTATATTGCACGCACACCTTCACTCAATCCTGAGGGTTTCCTCAGCTCAGAGCCTGACCCCAAACATTGATGAACTTGCACCCAAGATGAGATGCCAAGTATCTGGCTTGAACTAGCCTCAGAGAGCAGCAACCTGAGTTTCAATGGATGTTTCCTTCTGGGCATGTTTGGTTTTTCTTTGAGGGAAATAGTTTTTTTGAAGCTGTTGTTGGCCTGTGGGAAAATGTAATCAAATGACTCCGGAAAAGCTGCAGATAGAGCCATAAGAAATGAATGCAACTGATTATTTTATGTTTAATGTTGTTTTTATAGGCAATAATTTAAGCTTTGTTAGGTCCAGGTTTAATATGTGCAATACGTTCATTTCGGTTTTGCAATAAACATTGAACCAGTCCGGCCCTCGACTAGTACAGATTTATTTATTTTGGCCCACTGTGTATTTTAGTTTGACACCCCTGGTTTAGGGTAATCAACTGTTAAAAACATACTGTTAAAAATTTTTTTTTCCAATAAATTAATGTTTTCAAAGTAAATGGATAATCGTTTTTAATAATCGTTATATCAATTATTGACCCAAATAATCGAGATTATGATTTTTGCCATAATCGAGCAGCCCTAGTGTCAGTTTGTGTGGTTGATTGCATGATACAGTCACTCCCTCTCCTTACACAATAACATGGCTTTGAATAATATACAGGAGCCATATTGCAGCTAATGTGAACCATATATTTTTAAGACTTACGCATGCTCTTTTGTAGACTCCACCAATCCCAGCAGTCTGCTCTCTGTAACGTTATCAAAGAAGACATCGCATTGGACAGCATGTTTACCGTTTAGTTAAGGATAATGTGGAAACATGTTCTTGTGTTCCTTCAGTGGCCTTCATATTTCATCAGAAAATATGACCTACTTCTGGTTTTCACTCATTTCTTTCTGTACAATGGCAAACATTTTAAATGTGTTTTCTTACAGTAAGTGGTGCTTTTAATTGAGTATTTCCATTTCATACTTATTCCTTAATTTTCACAGAGAAATATTGTACTTTTTATCTGATGGCTGTATACTTTGCAAATCATCATGATCATTTACATATTACATAAAAAGCTTATAAAAGATGTGTCAAGTTTGACTTCTAAGGAACATTGTTAAGGTTAGCTTCCCCTCCACCAGATGCAGCATTACATTGCTGCTTACATGTTTGTGCTTATTAATAATAATCAAATAGCATAATATAGCATTTTCTGCTGCATAAAAGTACTTTAAATTTTTGATAATTTTCATGATAATACAAGGACTTCATCAAATGTATGAATCCATTATATTTTACTTGTAATGAGTCATTTTTAATAATTGTTTTTATATTTACTGAAAGTGAATTACTACCCCTACTTGCTTCACAACTACCTTTGTGAAAAGCAGCAAAGTGCCATCTTGTGGCGGAAAGGTCTCACTACATACGTTGGCACAAATCCCTTGGAAATCACACCCGACTAAACCCACACACACATTATAAAATCGTACAGTGTGAATGCACAGCCCGGATTGAAATCACAGTGAGGTTGTGGGTAAATATATGTCAACCGAGTGGCAGCGCCCTAATCTGACAAACCTCTCCCAGAGCTCTGATATTCTTTCAATTCAATTTGAAGCAGGAAATCCTTCATTTGAAGTTTTCAAAATCCATAAAACAGCACGGGAATTTTGCAAAGGATACTATAATGCAGTTTTCTTTCCTTTCCAAAGTTTCTTGAATTGCGACGGATTGATCCATGGTGAAGATTTGCGTGTCAACTCCTGCCTCCACGCTTCCCACACTCGTAAATCCCCGGTAGAGCTTCGAGAAACTCCAGCTATTTCTCTGTAAATGCACAGCAGGAAGAGAGACACTTCAGGAGCCTCGTGTAATCCGACATTATTCCCTTCAGGTCCAGATGTGTTCTTCTTCCTGCTGGTCCGGCCCAGACTGTTGCCACGCACTGGTTCAGGATCAGTGCTCTGACGTCACATCTGGGCTGTCATCAACTATTTGGATTAGGCCTCAGGCGTTTCATCATAACCGGATTATGTCTCACTATGAAGCAGAAACAACCCAACAAACAGTTGTTTCAATGTTTTTCTGAGGTTTTATGATCCATCAGGTCAACCAGATTTAAATGGGTTTATAGTTTTAAAGGAAAACCACTTGTATTACATTTTTTCAGTATAAAATGTAGGAAATATACTAGTTAAATGTAGTTGTTAGTTCAATAGTGTATTTTTTGTCTGCAAATGGCCGTCTTTTTGGAGGACCAACACAAGGGAGATTTAAGAAAAGAAACACATAAATAAATAAGCTTTGTTGGTAAGACTGACAATAAAAAAAAGGATTGTATTGTTTGATCAGCTCATCCCCTATCTTGTTTTTTTTATGTAACACCTTATGCTTAACATTCATCAGTAACTATATAAAAGTAGAGGTAAATCCACTTACGTCACACCACTTTAACACCAGGAATCAATTATTTAACCGTTTGATTAAGTAGGTAAAAGGTTGCAGAAAACACCAAACAGACAAAAATGACAGGACCTAAAATTTCATATGTGAATTATTCAAATGAATATTCACGATATATAGTTTATTATAGCTCATTTCATTATAAGGCACAATCATATTTTACACAGTACACACAACTAGAATGCATTTTAACATTTCTAATTGCATTTAACATTTACATGACACCATTATACCTTAAAATATTCTCTGTAAACCACACAATATAGACACCTCAAAATTCACAAAAATATTAACTAAAGAATAGCCCAAAGTACTTCATTGCACACTTCATTAAAACTTCAGCAAACCTTCACAACACCCTGTAACAGCTCAACATGTGTGTGTTTCATAAAGTGCATTTAGAGTCAAAGCTGTGATACTCTCACAATGGCTTGAAGAGAAGATAATCTAGGGAGAGTTTCAAGTAGTAAAACATTTCTAACCACATCAATAACAAAAACGTGTTTAGGCTCACTCACACATACGAATACGTCTAAAATAATTCCGATAGGTGCAAACAAAAACCGTTTTAGCTTTCTTCAAGAAAACAGTTCTTGAAATTAAGTTATGGGCAAGTGCATGGCTCAAAGAAATGACATGGTGATTAAAAAATATTTCTTAAAAATCCAGTGAGAAAAAAAGTTTAAAGTGAAAAATGATTGTGTTAATTTTATAGGTGATTTGCACCTCAAATGTAAAGTGATTCCTGAAGTTATATAATATATAATTTTTCATTTACAAATACTGTTCAAGCCATTTTGGTTGTTCTTGAACTAGAGATAAAAAGGGGATTTAGAAATGTTTAAAAAAAAAAAGGAGACACAAAGTCAACATGGTAACTGAGGCTTTACACAATCCCTTACATATATACATTACAATCACATGTAAATATCAGTGAGATAAATGAAATATTGGTATCCTCTGCTCTCTCTGGAGGAATGACACAAAGCTCTGATTACCTAATGACCCGCAGAGCAGCTGAGCTAGCTCCTACTCAGAGACTCAGAGCAGTAAAGTGATGACGAGCAGGAAAAATAAGGAAGCAACCAATTCTGTGTTGAGATGAGGACCTCTTGTGGAGAAATTAGGAACATTCAACGTGCCGTTCAACCACAGGCAGGAGGTCATAGTGGCGTTGCAGCACTCCAGGTGACATGGAGGTAGTGTGGAGGCCTTGCATGGAGTCTGGGCAGAACAGTTGGTGGTGCAGCCTGCCGTCCACTTCAAATCAGACCCCTCTTTCTCCTTTTTCAGCTGAAAAGGCAATAGTGAGTGAGAAAAAACATTGAAGGACAAGTGGTTGAAAGTCTAAATAAGAGAGTGTGTGTTGTCAGTCTATTCATTCGAGAATACAATGAGCATATACATAGAAACTTAACTTTATTAGAATATCTTAAAGAAACAAGCAGAAAAAAAGTGCTGATAGGAGCCTTTTAAATAATTTAAACCTGTGGGCTGCCAACATTTTTCGAAAGAGAATTTGAATGAATTATTAATATTTTCAATGATTTACAAGCACAACAACTAGTTGATGTAACATGGCTCCACATAAAATACACTGTATTATAGTTTCCTTTACGTTTTTCTTCACTATTTGTGTGCAGTATACAAAGGCATACGGCACATTTGTTTGTGTATCTTGGGTTTATGGCTCAGTCTAATTGAGTTTGTGATGAAAAAAGACACCAATTGGGTAAGGACAATTTCAAAGGTGCTAAACAAAGCCAACAATGAATGCATAGAATGCTGGCTAAAATCTTCCTGCACTCCAGATGGTTAAACATTTAAAATCAATTATATATTCATAAATATGACATTCAATATTGCCAGAGCAGTTCTCACCTGACAGTGTGGCTGTGAGGAGGTGCATGTCTGGGCTGTTTGAAAAGTTTTGTAGCAATCTGTGCCAGTACATGAACCAATATGGCATTTGTTTCCCTGAAAAAAAGAAAACAGAAGAAACAATGATACTAATCTCACACCAAACATGAATAGCAGAATTTTTCTTTAGACAGTCACATCTGTTTGCAGTTAGTGAGAAAAAACAAGAGGAGACGGAATGAACTTCAGTGATGCACACAACTATAGCTTTCTGTCAACCATATATGCATCTATGAAAATGCGAGCAAACACAAATAAATCCCTCCGTTTGTCCTTACTTTGTTTGCTGTTGTTGGAAGAATGGTGGTTTTCATTGTGGGTTTGGTAGTTGTCCTTGGCATTACTAAAACCAGGAAAGGAAAAGAATGAACCCTTAAAAAAAATTGCAACCTTACAATTACAAGTATACATCTGTAAATATCATACATGAGATAAATCCTTAATTGCCTCGCTGTATTACCATCATTAAGACGTCATAAAATGGGGACGTTAAAGATGAGTACCTGTGGTTGTAATCATCATCATGGATGCAAAACTGCTATTAAGGCAGCCGGTAGAATTGCAGCAGTACACAGAGCAGTTGGTCTGAGAGGCGTTGACGCAGCTATCAGCACAGGACAAGCTGCAGCCAACGGTGTAACACATGTCCGTCTGTTTGATCAGCTGACACAGTGAAGAATGACATATTAGAAGACACATTTGAGATGCTTTTACCTTTTTTTGCCTTTTTGAACATATCATTGACCATTAAGCAAGATATACTGAATTTCCTAAAAGAAGCAAAAGACTGTTAGGGTGGTTCTTTGTTATGGACAACGCATCAAATCGTTTTCTTAAACTTTTTTTTCAGTATCATTTGTGTCCCTACCTGACACAAGCAGACACCATCAGCACATAACGTTGTATTCTGACTGGTGTACATCGTATAGCAGTCTGTGTAGTTACAGGTGAACGAGGGGCAGTACATCTGTGTTTGAGAGAGACGAAAAGTATATTATGAGAGTCAGAGGCTAAAGGGAAAAAAACGCATAACATCATTAAGGTTTACTCTAAATAAGGTGGACTTGCAATGCTCATCGATGTAACATTTACCATAGTGGTTCCATTCATACCAGTCATGCCACCTGCACCAAAAAGATAGATGTCATGATTAAAGATACAGAAAGATAGACAACATAATACGAAACACAATTCTCTTTTTTTCATGAAACAAATGAAGCCTTACAAGTAGAGTTTGATGAAGGAGTTTTGGACGTCATTGAGATCCAAAGAGTAGAGTTTGAGTTCATGGAAGAGGAGGAGGAGGAGGAGGAGGAGGCAGGTCCGGACATGGTGCTGGCTGTTAAAGCAAATGTAGAGGAAGCAGAGGTGGATCCTGTATTATTTGCACTTTTTAAATTATCAGTGGTGATAGCAGCTGTAGATGCAGAATTGGCTGTGGTGCTGGTGCCAGACTGTGTGGTGGATGTGATGGAGGTTGCTATGCCTCCGGAGGTTGTTGTGGGAGACTGGGTGGCGGGTCCTGTGGATGCTGTGACTCCAGATGTGGGTGTGGATGTAGGAGAAGGAGTGGTGGTGGATGCTGTACCTCCAGAGGTTGCTGTGGGTGTAGGGGACTGGGTGGATGCTGTAGCTCCAGAGGTTGCTGTGGGTGTGGGGGACTGGGTGGTGGATGCTGTGGAAGGTAAGCTGGTTTTGAGTGTAGGGGATTGGGTGGATGCTGTGCCTCCAGATGTGGGTGTGGATGTAGGGGACTGGGTGGATGCTGTACCTCCAGAGGTTGCTGTGGGTGTAGGGGACTGGGTGGATGGTGTAGCTCCAGATGTTGCTGTGGGTGTAGGGGACTGGGTGGTGGATGCTGTGGAAGGTAAGGTGGTTTTGAGTGTAGGGGATTGGGTGGATGCTGTGCCTCCAGAGGTTGCTGTGGGTGTGGGGGACTGGGTGGATGGTGTAGCTCCAGATGTTGCTGACGGTATAGGAGACTGGGTGGTGGATGCTGTACCTCCAGATGTTGCTGCCAGTGTAGGGGACTGGGTGGTGGATGCTGTAGCTCCAGATGTTGCTGCCAGTGTAGGGGACTGGGTGGTGGATGCTGTAGCTCCAGATGTTGCTGACGGTGTAGGAGACTGGGTGGTGGATGCTGTACCTCCAGATGTTGCTGACGGTGTAGGAGACTGGGTGGTGGATGCTGTACCTCCAGATGTTGCTGACGGTGTAGGGGACTGGGTGGTGGATGCTGTACCTCCAGATATTGCTGTCGGTGTAGGGGACTGGGTGGATGCTATCCCTCCGGAGGTGGTTATGGTTTTGACAGACTGGGTGGTGCTGCCAATTGTTGTACCTCCAACAGTGGCTGAGGTGGCAGGCTGGGCGGTGGGGGTTGCTGCGCTAACGGTGGGGGGCTGGACCGTGGTTGTGGGTCCAGAGGTGGTGGTAGGGGGCTGGGTATTGGTGATGGCTGCTGGGGCTCCAGTGGTCATGACAGTGGTGGACTGGATGGTGCCGGTGGTTGTCATGGCTGCCATGGTGGTAGTAGGTGCTGCGGTTGACGTGGAGGCAGTAGTGGAAGGGGACATTGTAGTGGTTGACACTGAAGGCAGCAGTAGTCCAAACAGGAGGACGTACAGCATGCCTGTGCAGCCTGATATTATGGGGAAAAGAACATATGTATTTTATTGTATGGAAACCAGATGTGAAATGAAAATCTGTTATTTAGCTGAGCTCGCACGTATTATATTTGTTTTACATTGGTTATCCCAAAAAAAATAGACCTTCAAATATTTTTCTTAGAATGGCCGTGAGTTAAAAAAGTATATTTAGTTTCAACAATACAAGTACTAAGTGATTCCTAAAGAGAACGGCAAAGAAATAGCTCAAATAGACATAATATAAACTAATAGGCATGTATGCTTGTACTTGTTTTGTCCACGCACAGAGCGCTGTGCACTGTAACTATGCCGACATGCATGTGTCATCTATTCACGAGAGAGCTAAATAATGACAACTTTGCTTTTGGGACTGCGGCAATTGAGTCCCACAGTTTCAATGGTTTTAACTGCATTTATTTATTAACAAACACCTGTATTTTCACTTAGACAACCATTACAGTGTGTATACATTTTCTACATGGCACACTATATAATGTACAACAAGCAGTACAAGAAATAGAAAGGAGACATTTTAGGTTGTGTAAAATGTTCTTTTTTAAATTTGGCTAATCTTTAATGTTTTTTTATGCATGTTTCTTAGTTAACATTAAGCTGTCTTTGGCTCTTTTCCTGCTGTAACAAATGCAAATGTCCCCTCTGTGGGAAGAATAAAGGTATTCTGATTCTCAACTCCATTAATACGATATCTACTTTAGTTTTTCCCTTTTTGCTGTATTTCTTTTGATAATTTTCCTTATCTGAATTTAGAATCTCAAAATAGAGAGTGTCGATTCTTGCATCGCAAAGAAAGTTAACTTTACTGACAAGCTTGGCTCGTTCTTCTATGTACCTCAAAGTGTTATCATGTATGTAAGCACTGACAGTGATTTGAAATGAGCAAACACACACTCATACCTGTGTCTTTTATGAAAGCAGCGGAGGCCATCATCACATTAGCAGAAATGGAGAGAGCTCTTTGTCCAGTGTGTGCTGAAGTTATTTCCTAACAATCAGAATAAAGGGAAGAGAAAAACACACAACTTACATGACAGCTGAGAGATGTTCTATAGTAATTCACTATTAAGTACACAGACGTAAAATAACAAATGTCTGCTTGCAGGATAAACAGAGCTACCTATGACAAACAGAATTAAAAGTGCTGACAATAGATCTTTGTGAGGGATGGTAATATGGGAAGAATGTAAATTGTTTACCATTGCTAGCCATGCATGACCTTTCATTGTATCCCACCTGGGCACTTCTTTTGATATGACACTCAGCTGAGTCTTATCTGTTTACAATCCTCTTATTGTTCGGGTAAACTGATCTCATAATTGTTTAGTTGACAATAAGACATTGATAAATGTGAGATTTAAAGCTGCAATAATATTCTTTTATATTTGTACCCACAGTTTCTCACATTATATTGGTATTGTAACATTATCAGCACTATTTATTACTGTTTTGTCTTGCATTATATTTATAGTTTTCTTCTTCCATTTGTTTTATAATTATGTTGCTTTGTTGGAGGTTTCTTTGCCATTATACACTGTAGCTACTGTGCATATGAACTCAAAGCCTTTGAACCTAGTTTCATCTAGAACAAAAGCTTAGTCATAACATTTTAAATCAAGCATGAGAAGCAATTTCCATCAATGGTCTCCCCCGCATGAGGTCATTTTTGCCAAGACTAATTCTGTGTAGTGACTTGCAATTATATCATATATCTGTTTGCAGTGGTTTATTATTGAAGACAATTAAAATGTGTTTGTTCCTCCATCAGTCCCCTTGGGAGAGTTGCTGAGCTGCAAGGCTTGTTTTTTCCGCTCTCCCCTGGAACCCAGCCCGGCCTCCTATGGGCTCTACACCCTGGAAACTGGGTGACAACAGTGGCCATTTTGGCCTCTGGGTGAAAATGTATGAGTTTAATAGGAAAAAGTGAAGATACTATATCCAAGAGAATATTCAGATTGATGAACAGCATCAAGAGGTGTGTTCAGGTGTTACATTTTCATGCTGTTAATTACACCTTCCTGGGGTTTGCATTTTAATTATGTTGTACTGGTGATCGGATTCAAGATTGAATTTCAGGACTATTCAAGCGAAAACAAAACTAACCCTCAACATAATCCAAATGTAATGTAAATATTTGTGTCTGTCATTTTTGAAATGAGGAAAGGCTATAAGCGGAAAACCGGAAAAGTTTTGAGTTTGTCACAATCAGCCAAAACATTAATCTTAAGGATATGACTCATCCTTATGAGATTTAGCGACTACCAAACATGTTAAAATTGCCTGAAATACAGACAGATTTACTCTGAAGTGAAAATGATTGTAAATGAAATGAATAATTCTCGATATAAGTTATTGTTTTAGAGAAACATTTGGACCAGCAGCATCAAAACATAACTGATACCACAAATTCCCCCGCTGCTGTATCATTCTCAGGCTACAATAGCACCACTGTTTCTGACCAGCATCTCCCTGTGCACAAGCATCAAAGCTCTATTTAGCTGAATTCAAATCATGCTCACAAAATCTAACATTTAAAATCAGAACCACTCACCTGCTGTGAAATCTCTGGGTTTTTTGTTGTCAGCTGTGGTTGAAGTGAAGGACCTCTCTCTCTCTCTCTAGCTTTCCTATCTCTGTTGCTCTCTGTCACCACCACCCCTTCGCTTCCTGCCGACACTCAAGTGGTAACGTAATAAGAGGAACATCTCACCTGCACAGCTTTAATGTTGTGAGAGGAGGAGACTAAAGGCCTGCGGTTGCTGGGTGGGTCTAAATATGCCCTATAATTGATGTGGAAATGATTCTTGGAAAAAGGTACTTTGGGTATTAAGGTGAAAATACATCATAAAAAAAAAAGAAAAGTGTTTCATAATTTTCGCTAAATTAACTTTGATGAGTTTTGTTGTGAACATAGAATGACTTGCTTGATTTAATACACCAATTAATTAAAATTGTAAAGAAGTATTTATACAAAATGTGCTGTATTTCATATTGCTACATGGGATCAACAGGTGAATAAACTCTTTTAAACAACGTTTCTACCTTCAGGGATCACAATATCTTTTAAGTGCACTGTACAGTATGAATCAACATAAAAGAAGATATTAGGTGACAGTAATTTGCATTGTTTGGGTTGCTTTGGCTTTAGTTTGTTTAAACTGTGCACCCAGCATTTAAAGATTTACTCAAATAACTCAGCGGATTACGCCTATGTGAGTCTATACGAGTACAGGTGAGATTTCACTGCCCTGTGGGGTTAGTGTATAGGAAACTCCTGGTTTCTGTTCAACACAATGTGAAATCAGACCCTCTCTCTCCCTCTGCCATAAAGCCCCCACACACTACAATTACCTCTTTGTGGACTAAAGACCGTAGAATTCTTGGGCACCACACAAAAGGCACAATGCAGGTGACAGAAGTCCTTCCTTTTTACATCACAGCTCCATGAGAAATGCAAAATGGTGTCTGCTGTGTTTGGATTATTCAATGTGTTGATACAAATGATACACAAAGGTTCAAGAGAAAATGATGTTAGTAAAATCAAGTCTGGCTTCCAATTCTGCTTGTGGTGTACGATATTTTATTATTTCTGGAGTTGTATACAGTCAGAAAAAAGCTTTTTACGTATCAGAAAAAACTTGAAGGATACAAATATAATTAAAAATAACAAAAATGATGTAAAGTATGTGTCCAAAAGAATGTGTCTGCACCATCTGTACATCATTGCTGTTGTCAGTGGGGTCAAATGCACAGCAGGTGTAACAAAATGCCTTTAAAACAGTACTAACATTTATTCATATATGTCAGTATAGCAGTAATGTTACATCTGCCAATGAGGTCAAGTTCAGTGTGTTTGTGTGACTGTCAGCAGGATAACTGCACTACTATGAGCCCGATTTACATGAAACCTGGTTGTAAGATGAATCAATGGGGAAAAACCCTTTTAATTTTGGACCAGATCCAAATCACACGCAAAGGATTATTCACTTTTGTTGATGGAACATTTGGCCAATATGCAAAAGTCTGCGCCCCTCAAGTAAAGTGAAATGCCTAAGTTAGGTTTCCTTTTACGTGAACGGAAGCAGTTTGTGCCCACACTGCTGTTTGGAATACAGTTAAATAATAACTATTTTAATATACTTCAACATATAAGTACTGTTTTAACCCTTCTCTTGCGTTAGGTCATACTATTTTCGGTCAAAATTGACCGGTGTGTTTGGCACAGTGATATCTCTGGAACCCCTAATCCAATTTTGATGGTTGACCTCTCATTTGAACAGTCAAAGCAAGTAGAATCAAGGGATGGCAGACAGAGTGACACCAGGGGTGAATTTCAAGTTATTATTTTGCAGTAAGTTCAAAGATAGTGCTTACTGTACATTACTGTATATTATAGAAATACTTGCCATGTAGGCTGTGTTTACTGGAGATGTAAATGCTTTAGTTGGTGTTGTAGCTGAGATTCTTCCCGTTCCAATGATGTATGGGATGTATTGATTTGATACAAGCAAGTCAGTGTTTCATTGTGTACTTTCAACTACAGTTTGTGGTCCGGACCCACCGGTGGGCCCATCAAGTTCAGCATTCACTGCATTCACTGTGATGAATATAAAATAAGACACTGATACTGTTTTCCTCAATGAACATTTAGAGAAACATAAATATTCAGGGCTCCTCTCCCTCAGGGGCCTCTCCCTCAGGGGCCTCTCCCTCAGCGGCCTCTCCCTCAGGGGCCTCTTCCTGGTCTGTTGACTGTTGGTCAGGCTCATAGTCTGGATCGCTGTTGTCTTCCATTTCTGAGACATCGTCCTCTATGTCTGGTTCAATCACCTCTTCATCTGGTTCAAAACATTTGTCCAGAGCCTCTCTGACAGAAAATCGCCTAATCGNTTCCTAAATCGTCGGCATTGCAAAGTTGCATTTTCCCTGTTGCTAAATATCGTAGTGTTGCCAAACATTTTATTTCCGGACTAATCGGGTTATTCCTGTTAGTCGGGGATGTTATTGCATCCCGCACTAATTCCACAACAAGTTTGATACCCTCACGATTTAGCCTATATCTCTTGATCAATTCACAGTCTTCCATTGTCTCCAAAACATTTCGTCTCTCAGCCATTTTCAGATTCTTTGTGAATAGGTCTTACTGAGTTAGGAGTCCTCTCGAGGACTTTTAAGCTCTCCTAAACTTAGGTGCTACTTTTAGGCCTAAAATACTTTGTGAATTGCTCTTAGTGAATAAAATTAGGAGTCCTAAATTTAAGACTGACACGCCCATTATGTTTAGGAGTTTCTCCTAAATTCGCCAGTTAGGAGCTACTTTTAGCCCTAAGATCCTTTGTGAATACGGCCCCTGGACATGTTCACACGCGCTCACTGACCGTGGAGTTCGTAGACCTGGGGCAGGTTGGGGAAGATGCAGGCCAGCTCATCNCACACATGCTGAAATATACAGCTATACCTGGAATTAAACACTCTGCATGTACGACCAGAAGAGGGCAGGAATCGTCCTTATTTAAAATACGTGTGGCTGAAGACCTGGACACGTTCACACGCGCTCACTGACCGTGGAGTTCGTAGACCTGGGGCAGGTTGGGGAAGATGCAGGCCAGCTCATCAGAGTTCAGCACAGACCTCATCTTCTGGAAGAACACCTGGTCCAGGACCCTCAGGGTGCGCAGGTGGGACGCCTCGGTGGTGAACAGCTCTGAAGGTGAAGAAAACGAAGAGGGGCAGGGGGGGGGATCGAAATCTCAGCAAATTGTTACAATCAAGCTAAAACTGCTGCCTTTAAGTAGTTTGGTTGGAAACATTTCCTATAAATTGCTTGTCTGTTCTTTCGACCTTTTCAAAACTTCACATTTTAGCTTTGTTTCCAGTGAGATATTTCTGAGTAAATATTACTGTTGCTGCTAAAGAAACAACATTTAGTTATATCGAGTAGTGGAAAATAACCGATAAGAGTACTGTGGCGCAGTGGATAGTGTGTTGGTGTTCGGATCAGGGGAGCACAGGTTCAAACCCCACTGCAGTCAGCATGTCATTATGACATGCTGACTGCAGTGGGGTTTGAACCTGTGCTCCCCTGATCCGAACACCAACACACTATCCACTGCGCCACAGTACTCTTATCGGTTATTTTCCNCCATATGTAAGGGTTCGTGGTGCACAGAGGGGATTGTCGGGAAAGAGATGGCTGTTTGAGGAAGCTCCCATTTATTAACATTTCAACAAACAAGTTGCATATTTGCATAACGTATTCAAGTGTTACCATTTAGTGCAATAGTAGCTACAGAACATGTACTGTGCTGTGTAAACTGTACTGTATCACATAGCGTTTCAGACACACAAACTTTTCAACTTTCAAACTTTTCAACTTTCAAACTTAAACGGTGCGCTCCCAGCGCACGTACCGGCAGTGATCTACAGCAGTGGTTTTCAACCAGTGGTACGGGGACAAACTGTCTCGCTCTCGTAATGTCTGTCTGTCTTGCTCTCGTTCTGTCTCTCGTACCACTCTCGGTTCCACTTTTACTTTTGCGCGCTACCTGTCTCACTCTTTTCCGGCCTCCAGCTTTTCCTGCTGGAGCCCGCCGCTTAAAGGTGGGGGGCGCGGACGGGCCATAGAGCCCATAGAGTTAAAGGTGGTGGACTGTAACCTGTAAAATCCATAGATTTAGGAGGTCCCCTAGTGGCCGTTAGCTGTAAAAAGCCATAGATTAGCCGCACCGTTATATAAACCGCAGCGTCGAAAAATGGGAAAAAAGGCGTGGCTTGTAGTCCGAAAATTACGGTACATCAAATCTGCAGCAACAATTGCAAAAAAATAGTTTTTTTGCTTTACAATAACTGATCAAGCTTTCAGGTTCAAATGTGAGTGCAGTAAAACATCTTGAAACTGATATTTTTCACAGTATCCGGAGTTGACAGTAGTCATTTTGCAACAAAGGAGGAAGTCAGATGGCATAGAGCCAAAAGGTCTGCTTAGATGGGAGGTTGGGTTGGATAAATTGGTCATTAAATCAAATCATTTCACCCAGGAGGCCGCTGCGCAGAAACGTTGACGTGGTTATGTAACAAAATTAGTGACGTAGAAAACACTGAATCATTTTTTTCTCAACATAGCTTACTATTTCTGTTGCATAGACTACAAAAGAGTTGTTTGTCTAACTTTAAAAGATTTACCACACATTGTTGGGTATTCACTGCAAACCATAAAAACAGTGGGTGGCATAAATACAGGTAAAAACTGCTAGATGCTACGTCATAGATCCTTCCTATAGATTGCAGGTTTAAAGATCAAGTTAAAAAACAGCCTGTAGCAAAGAAAACACACCAACCAGAGATCCCAATCTGACGTGTGTGTGTACCTCCTGGCCACACGGAATGCAAGTGCCTCTCAGTTTAGTGCTAATAACTGATCTAGAAGTATCAATACAATTGTTGCAACAATCAATAAAATGTAGAAGCTAAACAACTCCTGAAGACTTCCACATCGTCTTTCCCGCGGTGAATCTTCTTAGTATTGCATTTAGAGTGCAATTACAGCGTGATTAACCACTGTGCCACAATACTGTTTGAGCAGTGCCTCAAGGTCACCGCCACTACAC